ATGACTCTTCTTGACTATTCAGCAGACTTATACTACTATATACAGGCCACAGCATATTTGGAAATAGAAATGAATGGCTATTTCTGTAATGCACGGTTGTGTGAAGGGGAGGAAATCAATTTTACTAATGTCGGTTGGTCTAAATCTAAATTCATAGAGTCGACAAGAACCTGGGAAGCAATGATAAGTTATGCCGGAGTGGAAAGAAAGGTAGCATTGGAAACGATTGAGAGGTGAGAAATCAAGTTGTAGACAAACAGTTGATGTTTTAAAATATAGTCTATAGTCCATATTCATACTGTCATAGGACATTTCAGACTGTGATATATCAAAATTTAGTGTAGATATAGTCTAGTACGGTACCGGTAATGGTATGCAAACACTGCTGGACTGTAGTACATGCAATGAGCATATATACGCTCATTTAGTACATCAGATAAAATGCATTATGATTATGTATTCAAGGTATTAGTTAGTATTTAGGGGTATTTTTAAACTCATGCTGCTCCAAATATTATTTTCTTCCTCATTTTAGATACTGTACTACAAAAGAAAACGGCACTGTTCCACCAATCCGACCTAACGCAGGCTCTGATCCCTGCTGCTATCAGTGCTATAAAATGGATTTAACAAGAAGTCTTGAAGCTTAAAGGTATATGAGAATCATAATAGTTGCAAACAGCTTAGATGGGCTATTCATATTGAAATACTTTAGCACTTTTCTGCAATTGAAACTGCCCATCAAATTCATGTTGGAGACTTCATTGAGATTTTCAATTCATTTTTTCCCCTCGACTATGAAGATCTTTTGAAGTTAACGAGGCATTAATAAATAAAGCTGAGGAATTTAAAGAGGATATGAAGAATGTAAATGATACCAGGGCACGTCTATTTAACACTGTCAAACATAAGGATTATACTCTCCACCCAACAATGATTCACTGAAGAAGCATGTGGCCCTCAAATCAGTTCTTGAGTTGGCAAACTGCAAGTGTAAGAAAAATAGTCAAAATAATTTATGAAAGTGTGCCAAAATCAACTTAAATTGCACAGATTTTTGTTTTTGTATTGACTGCAAAAATCACAGTACACTTATAGAGGAAAAGTAGATTTTTGAGATAGTGGATTTCGAAAACAATTCAGAAGAAAGTGAATTAGATATTACTGTTGATTTAATAAGTATCATTTATTTGTTTTGTTTTTCGGACATTTGTTAGTGTCGTAGTCCTGTTTCTAGAAGTATTATTGCCTTTGTTCAAATACATAACCACATAAACTAAAAAAAGATTAATTGTAAATTGTAATATTTCTGTTCACTATGTTATGTACATTATGTTAATTTTCTTGACTTTTGCGGTAAATTTCTAAGTGAGAAATAACTGATTTATTTGTGTTTTCGTGCTCACGATGTTAATTTGTGACTTCATTGCTTAAAAATAAATACGTTTGATAGCTTCTATAAAATGGATGTAGCTTTTTATGCTGTTCTTGTTGTAAACTGCTTGTGGTTATTACATAAAATTTATTTATGTGAATCAGCGTTGTTGGTGTCGCTGCTTTCGAGGTCACTCCCGATTCCTGTCACACAATTAAAGTATTTTTTGTTGTTGGTTACATGTATGCCATATTTTTCGTAATCTACCTAATAAATTATGATTGACTGAGGAAGTCCGATTTTGGTCAGGCAAAACATCACAGGAATACATTTGTGTTAGTGTGCTGTAGGGCTCTCGAATTGCATAGTTCTTATGTATGTGTTGTAAACTTATGGTTATTGAATTTCCGGGAACCTCTTATAGTTCCACTAGGATTGTGGAACAAGCTGTAATGCGTTCATTATGTTCGTTTTCACACAAAACTGAAGAATTTATTTAGTTACCAGATGTGCGCTACAAAACTCATTTTCTGGGCGTTTTCATGGCTTCGTCTCACGGCCCATATCCGTGGTAAGGATCTACAAGTGTTTAATAACTTACTTATACATTTTTCAACAACGTCTTCGCATAACTTAACTAATAATAACTAAACAGGGCTATGGAAAACCTGCCCGATTCATCCGCTCGCTAACAGCTGGTTTAATTCAATTGTTACGTCATGCTGAAGTCATTGTTCCTTGCCGAAAATGTAGAGAATATAGGACAGATCGTAGCACATATTTCTTGTAGTAAAAGCGTCTTTTCCGTAAAACGTGCAACTTTTGGAAGTGGGAACAAGGCAATATTTGTTACTAAATTTTTAAGAAACATTTTAAAATCATTTTCAGGTATTTACCTGATGTGCGCTACGAAACTCACTTTCTAGGCGTTTTTCAGGGCCTCGGCTCGCGGCCTAATACAACAATCTGCTTTTCCGAAAGTACCGGTAAAGAATTTTAGCCTAGTCTATCACAGCTATTTCTACACTAATTTTTACTACTGCAATTTAATAAAAACTCCTCGGAAGACATAGTGATCATTGAATTATCTGATTTACATTTAAGTTTCCGAAACACAACCGAAAACTAACGAATAGAGTTCTATAACGCGAAAACGAGGTAATGTTTACGACTACGCTTGAAAATCTGTCTGAGTGAGAAAAGTGTCTGAGCGAATGCGAAAAGGGAGCATTGTTACGTCACTTTTTGCATCTTGTTGATTGGCCAATATCACGGAGTAAACAAGGAAGTCGATGCTCGGGGAAAGGTCCATTGGACACGTTTAGTGGACATAACGATCGTTTCAAAATTTTGTTGTTATTGTTATTTGTCCATCCATAGCTGTGATAGGCTAGGCTAAAATTCTTTACCGGTACTTTTAAATAACAGATTGTTGTTTGTGATGAATCATAATGATGGTTTGAAACACATACCCCATTTAACAGGCGCCAACTCGCAAAAGCACTTTTAAAATAGCCCCGAAAATTTTGCAGTGGTAAAGTATAGGAAGAATTTTTCTGGGGTCAAAGGTCGGGGAAAGGTCCATAAGGTTTCAATATTTTGTTTACAAAACTCACACATATTTGTATCCACCAATCCAAAACTATGTAAGGTATAGTTGAGAACTATAGATTTATAAAAAAAAGTTTGATTTGGAAGGACCTTAATTTTGTTTTATTTGTTGATGAAAAGCTGTAGCTGTCCCACTTCACATTGGGAATATCAAAGGACACGTGATAGGTGTTCAGAAAAATTGCATATTTTCAGTTCTTCATCGACACCAAGTGGTGATGTCCTTTGTTTATAGTCACTTTGGTTGAAACAGATGTTTACTAACTTCTGTACTTACTGATTGCGATGATGTAGAACTGTGGAAAGCACTCAACTTTAGAATTCACGGCCCGGTCTTTGCAGTATGTGTATGACTATGAGTATGCATGACTCATAGTCATTATAGTACGGTACCGTACAGTACCTAGTATCGCGATGTCGATCGTCAATTATAAAGAAAATAGTCATGGCGAGTTAGCCCTCTCTCTCTCGAACTCGCGATGTCGATCGACAATTATAAAGAAAATAGACATGGCGGTGTGGCTCAACGGGCTAAGCGTTAGGAATACGCTCGCCACCGCACCTCTAATTACTGTGCGTGGGTTCGCAGGTTCGAATCCCATGCAGGGATGGTTATGTGCGAGAGGATTGCTGGACTCCTCGCCGTCGTTGGGTGGTTCACGTAACCGCTGGTCGGTTACGGCTTCCTCCACCACCAAGTCCATGCTTCCGAAAACAAACAATACAGTAAAACTAATCCCATACCCGACTTGGAATGGTAACCGGACGAGAGGCCGTGGTTCGTCATATGGATAAGCCGTCTTATCGGCTCTCCTCTCCCCCGGGATAAATATGTTAATCCTATCCTATCCTAGTTAGCTCTCTCTCTCCCTCTCTGCTCGCAATCAACGGTAGTTAGATTAAAATGAGACTGCCGGTAGCAAAATAGAAATAGGTAGAATATGATGATATATTTAGCATGCTTAGATGAAAATGATAAGTTGAGACATCCTTTGCGCGTTGAGTAGCGTACGGTACCGGTATGCCTTCCGACATATAAGCACGTTTTCTTGCGAGTTAGCCCTCATGGCGAGTTAGCCTCCACCCCCTAGTATGACCGTCAGACCGTAATTTCTTAAAATCTATTTGCTAAATGTTATTATTGTTTGTATTGGCGAAGATGCAATTTCGATAAGCTCTTTGAATTTGATGTGATTGGAGGTCGTAGTGACGTAATCTTTAGATGGCGAGCCAGATGGGGGTTCTGGGGTTTGGAATAGGTAACATATGCAAAAATGGTTGTACCAGGTCAAATAGAACTAGACTACTTGCAGTGTTTAGTGAACATGCGCCTTTTTTACTTGTTTTAACACATATTACTAAAAGCGAGTATGAAGTACTGGTATGTTACCGGTAACTGTTACTGATACCAAGTTACTGGGTTATGCGGTACCGATAATGTACCTAGATGCTAACCTTAGATCTAGCGTTGTTAATGTCGTAACTGCTTGAAAAACATCAAACAAAAATGTACCGTAATGTGGAAATAAATACTGCTTATTAAATAACGTGGAACAAAACTGTGATGGGGAAGTACCGTAAGCCCCAAATTTTGTTTGTCTCGGCGCTATACCGGTACCCTATTCGGCGCAGGAGAATACCTTCTTCTGTTCTTAGTTGAAATTTGAGTTGGTTTAAATGCAACCCAAACGCATCTGTCAAGAATTACTTCCCAACAAAGACTTTTCTTAAAACATAGAAATTTACTCCCCATTTTTGGGTTATGTGTTATTCAAGCAGTTGCCGTACAGTGTTCATTTCACATCATATTTTTGTTTGGCTTGATTTACCCAGTTACGCCGTTTACTTCGCTAGACCCCCCTAACCTACATTACCATAGGTCCTAGTCGTACCAACTAATCCCATACCCGGCAAATGTAACCGTATGTGAAGCAGTTGTTCCCCATATCATATGATTTTGATCTCATTGGCTTTCGTCTTCTCCGACATAAATATGTAAATCTATCCTATCTCTGTATCTTGTGACTTATTTTAGAATTAGCCCTGCTCACCCAAGAGCTTGGATAATATAGGGTACAATATTTAGGAAAATATGTTATAAAAATAAATAAAAATGAGCATAAACAATGATGAGTTACCTGGAGTAAAAATACCCACAATTGTTGATGAGGAATTTGAAGATATTGTGGAACTAGACAATGCTGCAGTTTCTTCCACAAATGCATTGCTGCCTAATGCAAAACAGGACTTCAAAGAACTTCAACGGAGTAGTTCAAGATATGTAGAAAAAGTGGAAGGATTGAATGTTGAAGAAGTAAGGTGGTTTTACCAAAGTGTGAAGAAAAAAAAGTGGAAACCTTTCAATGGGAATGATTCTATCAGTATTGAATCAGAATGGAGATGCGTGTCAAGATCTGACAGTGAAATTAAAAGAGTTTGTGTCCGAGGAGGAATGTATGAAGTTGATGTTCTTGATAGAAAATGCTATCCTGTTTATTGGTCTTCATTTAATTTGAAGGGGGTGGAAGAAGCTGTTGATATTCTTCGTGGTACATGGTTCTATGGAGGAAGCTATATCCCTTTGGATGAGATACTGGCAGATAAAATTGAAGCAAATCACATTGAACGTTGGAAAGATTGCTCATTAGATGAAGTAAAAAAAGCAGTGGGAAGCACGGCAATGCATAGTGTTAAGCTTGAGAATTGTCATGTTGATTGGTATAGTGTAAATGATATATACATACACAGTGATGCTGTGTCATATCGAGCATTGCGGAATATTGTTCAAAAATTCGGAGCGTCCAAAACATCAACTAGTGGAAATAAATTACAAAGGGGATATTGTGAGGAGGCAGCACATGAAGATTGTACACCTCCAGTTGAACATTTGGTTTTTGTTGTTCATGGTATTGGGGCTAAATCAGATAGACATAAAATTGTTCGTAATACAAATGCATTTCGAGTGACTTGTGATAGAGTAGCGGCAAAACATTTTGCACATTATACTGGTAGAGTAGAATTTTTACCTGTTGAGTGGAGATCGAAGCTTGTTTTGGATGATGGTATTGTTGATATTTTAACACCAAAGAAAGGCCAAGGATTACGTCAATTTTTAAACAATAATGCAATGGATATATTGTATTATACAAGTCCACTGTACAGGGCTGAAATTGTCAATGGTTTGCATAGGGAATTACTTCGTCTTCACAGAATGTTCATGGAGCGTAATCCAGATTTTGCTGGAAAAATTTCAATATTTGCTCATTCACTAGGATCAGTCATAATGCACGATATTATGACAGGTTGGTCCCCGGAGTCACTTTTTGAAGAATATTTGAAAAAACAAAATGAAAATAATTTTAATATTGAAAAGTCCGAACCTGATTTAATGTATTTTTCCTCAACGGAGAGTTTCGAAAACGAGTTGACCCAATTTAAAAAGGCCAAGGAAAAAATTGCAAACATCGAATCTCATGTTCTGTATGAAAAAGAGCCAAAGAAGGGATTAGGATTCGTTGTTGAAAATTTCTTCTGTGTGGGTTCACCTCTTGCAGTTTTCCTCTCTCTTCGTGGACAGAGGCCATCTAATGCATCAGGCACACAGGACGATATTATTCCAAGAAATGTGTGTCGCCGAATATTTAACATATATCACCCTTCAGATCCGGTAGCTTATCGATTTGAGCCTCTTATTGTCAGCCACTATTCAAGTATATCACCATTACAAGTACATTGGCACAATGCAGTACACAAAACACCTTATATTGAAATGCGTGCTAAGCCATACAGTTCAGAAGCAAACAAGGAATTGGTGAAATTATCTGAGAGAGAACCCAGCATTGACACTGATGGTACTTCAATAGATCTGTCAGATACAGAAGACCCAGAGGATTCAAAAAATGAATTTTTCGAAAAGGACACAGAATTGGAAGATAACGAGTCTTTGAACTCTGGGAACGGACCGGTGTCCTCTCCAGACATAGAAAGAAGGTCATCATATTTAAAAGCCATTTCTGGCGGTGCTTTTCGAGTTGGAAAAGCATTATTAGGTAGGGCTCGTGGTTCATCATCTCCCAACTTGAAAAGTGTTGACGGCCTTTCGCTAAATTCGTCTCCCCCAGGTGAAGAAGACTTGTCCGAAATCAAAGATTCAATACCAGTAACGGATTATGAAGAGTCTGTAAGCATTGCTTGTTCTACTGAACTGCAGAAAGAAAAAAATATGAATAGTCATGTGAAAACTAGAATCACTGAGCCAGATATTCAGTCTGATACTGTTTCAAACAGCTCGCTGGGATTAGAGCTTCGTCTTGATTATGAACTTCAGGAAGGATTTACTGAAAGTAGATTAGGATATGCCTCAATAACTTCTCACACATCATATTGGAATAGTCAAGATGTGGCGTTATTTGTTTTAATGCAAATTCACCCTCCTTCAGCAATGACACAAAATATACGGCCTTGATGATAAATAGGATTCATAACACTGTGAACTTATTTGTGCAATTAATTATATTTTTCTTAGTGTTTTAAAGAGTGCTTTAGTTTTTTTTGTTGGGTGATATTAAGCCCCTGATCTATGGCAAAAATTTAAGTTTATGGGTTATTTTAATTTCTTTTATGGTATATTATATTCCATGGCGCAAAGGATGCATAAACTTATTGAGAGCTTTTTTTTTAGTGGAATTATATAATCTGGTATACATTTTGTTCAACTTGTATTTTCTAAGGTTAAAGTTGTATTGGGGTTTATGTACAAAACAGAAAACCAAATTGCCCCTCTAAATTAAAATGCAAAACACTGTTTTTCATTTCCGAATTGTAACATTGTTCTCATATGTTGATCTTTAGATCAATAAGGTACCATGCTAGCCATTTAAAACTTCGTCTACTTGCCACAAAAATTTTGTGATCTATTTTATTGTGGTGTCAAACATTATATGAATTAGTATATAAATTTGATGTGTTCGGCTTATCACTTTTACCCTTCAGGTGTCGTAAAACAAAAAAATTCTCTGATGTGAACATCTTCTATGAAAAGGTACCCAGGTATTTTTTTGGCGTCCTATTAGATCAGCGGTGGTGTCTTGGCGGTGTGGCACATCGTGCTAAGCGTTGGGAATATGCTGTCCTCGGCATCTCAGATAGGGCTACCAACCGTCCCGGAATTGACGTCAAGCGTCCCGAGCTTGGCTACGATTATCATAGAATTGAACGACAATCAAAGCGTTCTAATATAGAATGCCATTGTAAGCGTGTCGGCTTCGCTCGAAACTGGAAACGGATGTAATTCACGCGAATATATTTTTTAACATAAACGATTACATCTGTATGGTTTATTCAAATAGGAGTGAGTTGAAATTTGTGAATAAGACATGTTTCGTCAACCGTGACCTCCTCGTGACATAACACTAACAAAATAAGTTGAACAATTACAAAATGGATGATAACATTATATACAGCAGTTACCTTAATTTGAGAGGTTCAAAAACTTGATCCAGTGAGATTTGTTGAAAAGTTCAGTCAATGAATTTGCGGCGTGTAACAATATTTTGTGTTTCTTGTTTTTAGTTTATAATGCACTGTTAGTGCGAGGCTCTTTATGAGCAGGATTTCATTATTCCGTCAGTTTTAGAACGCCTTGCTGACAGCTCTTTTCTTAGCGAGAGTTCATTAATTAATATATTTCCGTGAGGATTACAAATTTTAACATAAACTAACAAAGATCTTAATAAAGCGGCTAAATCACAATAAAAATATAAATTTAAATACCAAAAAGACTGATTTCTTGTGTTTTAAATAAATCTACTTAGCACAAATTGTACATTTCCCTGTTTTAGTTTTTTTGCATTTATGCGTAAAAGAGTCAACATTTCACAACTTTCGTTGATTATCATAAAATTATTTACAGTTTGTGAAAATAACGCTGCACGATAGGGGAAGGGACCCCGGGACATCCCGATCCCGAAAACCCTGAATTTGAATTTTTTTTTTTTTAAACCTGATCCCGCAATTATTTCCTAAAAATTCCGGGATTTTGAGGCTTTGTTATCCACATATAGATATTCTCACAAATGGCAGATTATTCTACTTTATTTTGAAAAAAGCCATCCACGCTTGCAGTTTATGTCAGTCAGACTAATTGGAATTAGTGTGCAACTTTTTTTCTCAAATTTTACCAAGGAATTATTATTTGACTAGTATTGCCATTATTGCCGACCTATTTGATCATCATTTGAACTCAAAATAGCATTCAGAATTCACGCAATGACTTTGCACGGTTTTCACTATTTAATACGAAAATAAAACAATCACGTTGGAAAAATAAAATCAAGTTCAACTATTGTCTTCATAAATATCCGCATTCCGGCGTCAGAAATGATAATATTTTAGCTTAAAATTGGGACAGTCAATTTACGTACGGTAACAAGAAAGATCAAAGCCAATCTAAAAGATAAAAATCGGAATAAAATCCCGAATTCAACCCAATATTCGACAATTCGTTAAAATTATTCGATTCGATAAAAATATAGTATTTTGCCCACCCATGTGATCTGTAATCACGCCAATAATCTGGCGAGGCGCGTGGTAGACCAAACACTGATACAATGAAACTTAATAAAACCTTCATAAATATAGTAAATTGTACTACTTCACGAAAGCCTGGTGGAATTGCGGATTATTTCATATCTCGAACACAAAAAAAGGTTATCCTTTTCGGATAGTTTCTGTGGTCTGCAAAGTAGAATAAGCGTTTCGACCTAGTAAATGCTATAAACTTTGCCTTCGAATTATGCTCGGGCCTCGCATGAAATTCATAACGTGATAAGATACGTCCAGCGGTGAAATTTGTTTACACCAACTTTAAACCTATTTATTGTTTTAGTTATTGAATGATTTTGGCAATGTGAGAAACATATTAAACGAGAATATCGGTCAGAGACCGAAGACTTATGGATCGAAAGTTAGGGGATCCCCCAAAACAGCGCTCCTACTCCATAGTGACACCTTGTGTCCCATCACTAATTAATTAATAAATTGCTAATTATACGACATAATTCATCCAAAATCAATAGGCTTCTGGTACGATATATGATGAATGCACATGCATCTGGAGCAGATTCAATCTTGCTTTCGTGAGATATCGCGGACAGACAAACCGACAAATACCTATCAACATACTTACCGATTAAAATCGATAAGTAATAAATTGTAACAAAAATGAATTAGGTTGTGAAAATGAGAATACATGTTATAATAATAAGGGCGTAACGTGGAACGGAGAAGGGCGAGCAACACCAAAGCGCGTGATCGCCGGCGCGTGTGAAGACCACGTATTACCCGTGCGGCCGCGCAACTTTTACAATAATGTGCGGTGCTCCGAAAACGCTCTCGTTTACATCAATGTAAAAAACAGTTGTAATATCGGTAACTATTAACCAGTTGTTCGCGTTCTACTATCGCACTCTTTTGGGTAGAAAATGTTCGTGTTTTGTGATAGGTGTGCCTCGAATATTTTAAAAGCCAAATTGTGTGCCGCGAGAGAGATAGATTAATTTCCACAAAAACAAAACTAACATAAACATAATACAATAAAGAAAACATTTCAGCAGTAATAACAGTGATTGAATATTGTTTTGTGCGGGTCGGTGTGCAGGACCGATTAATGTCATCTAGGCTCCCGACCCTTGTGTATATCTTATGCTATATATAAGCTCATCATGGCATAATATAGTACCAGGGTGAATGCAAATAAGATTAAATATAAATAAGATAAAGAAATTAGTGAATGAGTCGGCAATTTGAAGTTATTATGTAAGTTATCAAGGGGCAATTTAGGATTTTGAGAGGTCATGTACTGGTTGAAGCCGATCATGTCCAATTGAAGAGAAAAAAGTTTTTTTACTGGACACAGACCGGGATCATAAAAGTGGAAAAAAATAGACACAAGAAAATAATATCACAGATTCAGTAATAGAGTGCATGACTAAAAGTATCATTTGACACCTCAATTAGTTCACAGGGAAAAAATAGTAACAATCACTGAATATTGTATAAATTCTACCAACATTCATAAGTATTTATACATACTTGAAAAAGGACTGGAATATTAATATATGATCCACAAATAAATATACAGTTCACTTGTTACACAATGGCTTTAACAATATTAAAAAGGTTATTACTTGAAAAAAGACTGGAATATTAAAGTATGATCCAGAATTAAATATACAGTTCACTTGTTACACAATGGCTTGAAGCCTTGAACAATATTAAAAAGGTTATTACTTGAAAAAAGACTGAAATATTAAAGTATGATCCACAATTAAATATTCATTTCATCACTTCTTACACAATGATATTCTATATAAAAAAGGGTGGGAACCACTGCCCTAGATGCTCTAATATTTCTGCGTCGATATTACATGAAATAAATACGTGATTTTATTGTAATGCAAGTTGTTTCGACCTTTTTTTAATCCCGAAAAATCCTGGGATTATACGGCTCAATCCCCGGATATCCCTATACCGGGATTTCAAAAAACTGGCTCCGAAATCTCAACCCTATGCACGACGCGCAGCGCGCACTGTTGCTTTTGGCGTGCTCCGTGTTTCACAAGCGTCTGTTGCATCAATTTTCAAATTATATACATTAAGGTGTTCCGGAATGATTTAACACAACGTTGGCAGTCCTCAGATTACCATCCGTGGGTTCGCAGGCTCGAATCACATGCAGGGTTAATCATGTGCGAGAGGATTGCTGGACTCCTCGCCGCCGTAGTGTAGTTCCCGTAACCGTTAGTCGGTTACGGCTTCCTCCACCATCAAGTCCATGTACCTGAAAACGAATAACTGGCTAACTAATCCCATACCCGACACGGACTGGTAACTGGACCAGAGGCCGTGGTTCGACATATGATTACGCCGCCTTTTCTCTCCCCCGGGATAAATAGGTGAATCCTATCAGTGGTTCTTAAACTTTTTTGAACGCTACCCAAATCTGAGTTTTATGAATACTCGCGACCAAATCCCCAGCATTGAAAACATGTATTTTTAATGTTAGTACTCTTTGACTCCAATACAGGTAAACGATTTATTAAAAACAGTAAATTTACTCAGTGTGATTGATGGCTCGGCAGATGAATCAACTGCAGCTCACAAAATCACAGCAAGTAACTCTATTGTTACGTAATAATATAGGCATACTCCATTCCTACATAACGGAAAGTACGGTAAACGATATAGAATGGTAAAATGAATTTATTGATTCATATACACAACATTTAAAATAAGGGATCTTTTTAATCTATTTCTCACATGTGGTATAGATTACTTTTTAACATTTTTTTAATGCAATTTTGCGGCATTTGCAGTAAGACGTAAATTCCTACGCCTTTTTCAATACCATTTTGCTCTATTCTTGAACGATTTACAGAAAATTGGAAGTTTCCTGGATTGCTATCTATAATCCTTTTACCAAATGTACCAAACGAGATGAATGAAAATGAGCTCCTTATATGCTTTTGATAACTTCGACAGCAAAGTACGTCTATAGAGCGATTCTTTAATATATCATGCCTTCGAAATGCAGAATAAAATTGGCCATTATGATCGCCGCAGAATTTTTTTTTCATACAACTCCTATACTCTTATATTAGAAATTAGCTTCAAAAATATTAGAATTAATTACAGTCAAGACAAACCGAAAATAGTACCTTCGCGTGCCTATTTTCTTCTCAGAACAAGTGATGACATCGTTAAAATGCCTGTTGGCGAAGATACTGTACAAGTGGTATTCATACAAGAGGCGTAGCCAGACAATTTCAAATGGGGGGGAGATTCTGGAAATTCTAATTGTCAAGTTAGACCATATCACCTAGCGAATTGGAAACGTGGGTTTTAAGTGGGTCCTGAAGAGCTAAAAAGCAAGCGGTATGTATGATACAGATTATTTTTAAATGTCAAAAGAGTGGGGGACCCTCAACTCCCTTGGCTGCGTCCAATTCATATAAACAAGCATATATCACGAACACAACTGGTGTTGAATGAAGGTCTATAGCAGTGGTTCCCAACCGGCGGCCCGTGGCATTCCAAGGAGGACACGGAGCAGTTGGACGCGGGTCACAATGATAGATAGGCGCAGAACTGATTTTCCTTTTCCTTTACAAGAAAACTCTTAGTTCTCCCTAGTTTCATAGCTTCATAAAGTTATTTCACAGGGTGTTTTCACTTTGCTGAGCATGAATTGTTTGAACATAATGAGGTTAAGAATCTAGCAATCAAAATAACACGATAAATACTACTGAAATGATAAACAGGGAGGCCATGAGTGCTAAAAGCCCCCGGAAGTGGTCCACGAGCCCTAAATAGTTGGGTACCACTGGTCTAAAGTTACATTACATTCCCATATCCCAAAATTTACTGCGATATTTGTGAGCTCGTTATGCCATAATTATTTAACCGTATCCATCGCTTAATCTGTTTAAGCTGAAAATGATTGTTTTTTTTTTGAAGAAGAATTCGCAAACGAAATCTTGAAGTGACTAAATGGTAATCCTATTGAGAAACATTGCTAATTAGCATATTAGTAGGTTTTAGCCTAAATAAATAATTAGTATTTGTAAAAAAAAGTCTAATCCGCGTCACCGAGGACTTCATTTTCCCACATCTGGTCCGCCGACTAGAGAAGTTGCCCACCTCTGCTCCTAGTCCTAAGGCAGGGTTTCCAAATTTTTTGGGCCGCAGACCCCTATTTATGAATCTTACTTTTGACAGACCCCCATGCTATGCCGTATCAGTTTCTGTGCCTAACCAACCCGGAAGAGTTATTTTATTTGTCAGTTAAATCAAAAAGTTTCAACCTCATTTTTTAATAATATCAAAATGACAGGAGGTGTGAAGCACGGATTGCTCCGTCATCGGATCTACAACACCTTTAGATGAGCAAAAAAGAGAAAAATGAATGAAGAAACAAATAATATAAATAATGTTTTATTTACAACAGAACAACACAAACGACATCATTGAGTTGAATGAGATTGTGCTTTTCACTGCACAATTTCTCAATTCTCGAAGCAATTTGTGACAAGCAAACTCGCAGGTCCGACTCCATAAATAAAAGTAATAGCCTTCTAGCGAAAAAATTTAATCTTTGAGCACTGAAAATTTTGATGCGATTGGTCCAGTAATCAAAGATAAAGCGTTACAAAGAAGAACAAAAACAACAACAACATAATAACAAAACGGTCGCTATGTCCAATAACGAGTCCAAAGTTGGAATGCGGGTATGTTGTGGATCAGCGATTCTTCATTTCAATCTTATCGATTCTAAAAACAAGCACTATCGCATTAAAGTTTGCATAATGAATGAAAACGTTTTATGAAAAGCGTGTCGCGATTTACCTAGTTAGTTCAGTGCGTCGCTAGCTAAAAAATTAAGAAACATAAATATTCGTATGTTATTTATTGTTGGATGCATGAAATTTTGAAAAATACCAAAAAACGAAAAAGTGAGTCAATGTTTACAACCGCATGCCTGAAAATTGTCGGAACGTAAAAACTGTCAAAGTCGACGCTAAAATTCTAATTGTTTCGTAACCGTTGTCGGTGAATGATTCACGGTCCAGTAATCCGAGACACAGAGTAAAGCTGTGAGCTGTCGAGGACGGACGCCTAACATGAACATCATAACAAGCAAGTTTAAGCGAGATGATATATATATATATACATATATTTGAAAAATTAGGATCAAAAACAAATATCGGATATGACATATTAACGGGGAAAAGCCCTGGATTTTTGATGTTCTACGCCAGGGGTCACCAAACTTTTTTGACCGCGGGCCGGGTATGACTCAAATTGTGTTGAAACGGGCCGGATGAATATTTTTGTCAATGCAATACAATAAATTCACAAATGTTGGGAATATCGCAGAATATAGATCGAGAACACCCTAGGAAAAAAATTAACAAGATTTCTATATCTAGACAACTATCCTGAGTTTAGCTGTTATCAAAACGTTGCTGTCATGAATTAGAAATGTTACAAAATCCGCGGTAAAAAATGTACGCATCACGTCTGCTAAGTACCGTTACGCCGTGTTGAAATACCGCTCATAAAAACGACTGCCTGCTGTAGCTTGAAATTCTATGAAATTTTGACATAATTTAGATAAAATAAACAACTATTATCTGGTATTTGAATTTTTTCATTAGCGCATAAATTTCCCAACATTCGACGCTTTTAAAAATTACGCTCCAGTTATACGTAGTGCAAATTATTGATATTGTCTATGGACACCAATAAAATTTATATGGACGTGTGTATTTCTTGTCTAACTTGATACGTACCAATTTTTATGAAGTTCGTACAATCAGAACATCGTTAATTATTACCCACAATGAACCACTGTCAAACTATCATGCACAACTCCAGCGTTTATTTGCGACGATCTTTCGGCGGTGTCAATGACCGTTGCCAGAATAAAATCCTGAAATTATCTCAATATACCATAGATGTGACGCACATCGAAAGATTAGTGATTGATATGTGTTATTTTTCCATATTTAGTACAGTTCTTATCAAAAAAGTAATACAATCATTATGGAAAAAATTGGCTGTCGGGCGGTACCAAAATTCCGATATCTCCGTTAGTTTTTATTTAAATCGGATGAACTTCAATTTTTTTGTAGCATACCTACATGAATATCCGCATTAAAGCAGTACAAAAGTTAGTGTGGCTTTTGAAATTGGAGCAGTACGCGAGGGATTACAGTACTGTTAGCACAAAATGCACATTCGACGTTTATTTTAGCACGAAAAACAAACAGTTTCGTCGAAAGCAAGCGCCACGAGTGTACAAGTGTATCGCAGAAAACGTTACGTACTGGTAGCATTCAAAGTCGCAAAAACGAAGTTTTGTTTACAACCACGACTGAAAATCTGTCAGGGTGACAAAAGTGTTATTACGTCACTTTTCTGCATCTTGCCGATTGGCCAATGTTACGAAATAAACAAGGACGACGATGCTCGTGAAAATCTTCCTTGGAAAAAAATTTAGCCATTTTTGCGTGTTATTGCGGACCGGATAAAATGACGCCGCGGGCCGGATAAAATGACGTCGCGGGCCGGATCCGGCCCGCGGGCCGTAGTTTGGTGACCCCTGTTCTACGCTAACGTAAACGGTTCGCGTTAGCCTACCTGCAATGCGATCCAGAAGATAGCGGAGTCGTTAGAATTACTTCTCTGAAAATCTGGATTTGTATATTTTTGAAAATCCTCGGGATAACTTTTTAACTGCAAAATCTCCCTTTCTGGTGTTTTTACTTTCAACATTTAGAAACAGATTCTCTTTCGTATCGAACTCATTGACATAAGGTTTCTTCGTTTTATAAAATATATGTAAGTCTATTCGTTAGCCTACTACGCAAGCTACATTAACATGACAAGCTTTACATAAATATTATACACATAACTTCCAATTGCGTTGCTCTTTACCCATTTGCATCGGTTGTCTGACGTCTAAAATAATGACGTTTTTGAGCGAACTCCCTAAATTCCACCACAGATCATGTCGTATTGTCGCACTTCTCCAGGTGGCGTTCCCATATTTTGTATTGTACCACTCGATATAACCCATGTCATTCCATCACGAACCCTTTAGCAGGTATTCTAAGTTTATCGTCGGAAATTCATTTTGTTGGGCAGGCGAGACGTCTGTGTTGAGCTTTCTGTTATACCGCTTTCGAGAAATACCGCTATACGAATCGTGCAAAATTATCAGAGGCTAGAAAACTTCTTTGAGTCACTCACATCTATAAAGCATCTCGGTACTTCAGCTAAAATGCCTCAACGATATCAACCTTGAAGCAATCTTATTTACGCACCAGAAGTTTTTCACAATTTTCTAATTCCAAAAAATCACAGGTTTGTTATATATTCAGACTCTAAATTCCAATTTTATACAAAAACTGGCAAATAGATGGATGTCATAAAAGGTAGGAATTTCTTATTTAATCCAGATTAAAGTCAATAAGACGGTTTCTTCATGTGGAAAAAAGTTGGGGCCTTTCCATCAAATTTAGGCTTACCATACGTCCCGCTTTTTAGCGTCTTGTCCCGCCAAGTCAGCTAAAAGTACCGCTTTTGCGTTCGGCCATCCAGCATAATACACGATCATGTTCTCGTTGCTGTTGTTGCTGTGTAACGCTACACTATGCGCATGAACTCTCGATGACAATATGGTCAATGAAGACAGCCGGGATGGCTTTAAATGTGGGCCTATGTAGTAAAATCGGAAACTGTCAAGTTACAGGATCACAGCTAAGGGGTCGTGTCTTTGGAGGCGTCTCGCTTTGAAGTCCAAAAAATATGGTAACCCTAATCAAATTAGTTAGGATATGACAAGCAAACTTTATAACTTTTATTATATTTCTGAATATGTATACAAATAATTTATACTTATCACAAGACTATAGGTAGTTTACGGTTGAACTGCTGTACATAACGACTAATGTAAAACACGATATCAATATGTTAAATATTGTTACAGTTAATGTTTCCCATGAACTTAAAACAACATTCATAACTTTGTATCCCAATTTGTCAGTAGTTTATTGAAATAAGGACACATAAAGTGTTCACAATTGTCAGTATTCACCAGAATATCTCTGAGATCTGGTACTGATCGGACTGGGTTGGTTTGTTTTGGGTAGTATTTTTATCAGTATTTTTTTTATCACAATCATGTGAATACAATTTGTACAAACAATATGTAAAATAGCATTACAGGGGGAGGCGGTGGCAAAAAAAACAATACTGCTTATCAAGCACCGACACCCGTGATTGGGTGTAACAGTAATCAGGAAACGGAAAAAAGTTAAACCTTGTATCGAAACGTTTACAGCAACAACAAAAACCATCCCATTACATACAAAACTAAGACTACAGCATTGTGATGGAATTCTGGTAGGAACCGAGTTTGCCTGCATGAACTACCGAGCTGTTACTAAAGAATATGAGATTCACATTACATATTAGGACGAGAAAATAACACACTACTAATGGACTATTTAATAAATTAAATCTTCCCATCTGGAGCTTCTTTCATGAACTTCAGCAAGCTGCTAAAATGTTAATGAGAAAAATTAGAACGTTTTTATTGGTAAAGCGCTGATGAAAAAATTTATTAGTCAATGTTTATTTTTTTCAACCCGAAAAAAGTAGAATGAAAAACTTAAAATAATAAAATTGAACACACAATTTTGGGGAAAGGAAGTCGCTAGGAACTAAAACTGGTTATCAAGCAACGACATCCAATGTTCAAATATAGATTTATTTAAACATAAGGCCAAAATCGAAGATTAAGAGATGAGTATCGGGAGGATTTATTGGAGTGTTGTATTAAGTCGGGTGTCATCATTTAACCTCGTTAAACTTGTGATTTCGATTCAGAGTGTAAATTGCTCGCAGACATTTTCAACAGTCACGTAACAAAAACCAATATAATGTAATTGTTACGGGATTTGTTGAATAACAAAATTAGAATAAATAAAAAATATTCAAATTAAATGTTTCTCTTACGATATTTACAAGTCGGCCCGACCCATCCTTCGTTGCAGGTACATGAAGGAGTATTTCCTTCCAGTGTTACCACTCCATTTTGACATTCTAAAAGATTAATTATATATATATTTACTAAAACTGGTAATAAATTACACTCATTACGACTTTTGAAAGATTTGATTATTCACTGTGCGTCGTTAACTTGTGCTTTTCTTGGTTGATTGTTTGCCTCAACAACTATTTATACAACAAAGTTTTGCATGATGATTTTCACCATCATGAAGTTAATAGACTATTAATATTTAGTGTATGCTCGCAATGGCTTTACTTCGCTTCGCAAAATGAAATGCTCTACTTGACAATTATTGACAGTCACTTGAATTTCTAACATTAAATCAATGACTTGAGCTCACAAGCAGTCGTGTATGGTTTAACAATCAAATCAGCTTTCCTTACAATGGGACCAGCGTTTTGGTGATGGACTTAATTTTTACGATTCATGAAAAATCGTATGTTACTCAATCGATTCCATAATTGATGGTGGAATCATAAGACTTACCAAAAGCCTTTGGTAGCGAGTCACAAGCATAATCAGCGTAACAAGTAACAAGATCGAGGAGTTCAGCCTCTGCAATTTGGCCTCCGGCATCCCTGAAATATTACATTTGAATTAACCAAAATGAATCATAGAATATTTTTTTCAAAATATTGAAAACGCCTCAGTTCCCATTCACGATAGCTGCCTAAAGTAATATCGGACTACATATCTGATACTCACCTGTTGTTACTTATTTAAAATACGATAAAAGAATAATAAAGTCGAAATCTGGTATGAAATTTTCTAACAAAAACTTACGTTATAATAAGAGTATATCCTAAGATCAATCCAGAAAGTTCACCGGTAACAGTGCATTTACTTTTATAGTCATCAGTTGTGGTTGGTACTAGTTCGGCAACCAGAGACAGGCTTGTCGGAAATTTCGAATACTTTAGAAGAAATTATATTTCATGAATCAAAATGCCATTTTCGGTGCGAATATCCGCTCCTCAAACACAGGTTGGCGAAAGGGCACATGGGTGCAAATGTAATGGTTCCGATTAGAGTTTCTATTTCGGGACCAGATTTGAAATCCCGGGGGCGGGATTTTCACCATGGATTAATAATATTAACACACAAAATATTATAAGTGGTCATTTTTATTTCTTATGCAACTGACACAAAATCTTCAGATCATGCAGATTGTCATCATTTAGACGATTTCTAATTTTGTTGGCAAAAATTCAAGATCTGAAAATGCACGCTCAGCCTCAACTGACGCAGGTTTGATTGTTTTTAGTGCGGCATACAACTTTTTCTTGTTTCATGGACTCTCCCTGCTTGTCTGATATAGCAGTATTTCTTTCTTAACCAACGCCATTCGACATCGTTTTGCGTTATTTCGTTACTCGATTGCCGTGCCAAAGCTTTGAGTATATATCATTGTTTGTAATGGGATGAGAGAACCTAGCAACCATGAACCAAGCTCTCTTATTGTGTTGAAACAATTTCGTCGCTAATGGAAAGAAGATACACATAATGAATCACTCATCCTACCGTAGGCCTTCATCATTTTAACTATCCAAACATTGGGGGTGAAGACAGCTGTATCTGCGTTGTGCTGTTTGTTGATCTTTATAGATTATTACTTTTCTATTCAGAACTATGTCGTTTTTTTTTTAAATTGCTTCATCGAATGGCTTCAATGCAATTACTAAAACTCCCACTTTCAAGAAATCCCATTGTGTCATATCTAAATAATTATTATATAAACTCACCCCTGCTTGTCCGACAACAAAGAAGACATCAGCTGTTGCCGCCGAATTCGAATTAGCTGCATTGTACCTTTGAAGGACGTGATACCAAATGCCACAGGTCCCACTTATGAAATTACCGGACATTTCTGATTCAGTGAGACTCGCATCAATTCCTTCATGAAGTATCTTAAGAAAGTTACAAACTGTATGTCAAGTAAAAGTCAATGGAGTAAAACCAAAATTTGTATTCCACGGCTACTGCATTGGGAAATGACAAATGAAAATGCTTATCACATTCAAGATAAAATTGAATTTACGTATTCGAACTCATTTGATTATGACTCATCATTACACAGAGTTAAACATCAATTCAATTATTACTCGAACATACGCAAATACTAAAGACATGACCCTGTATTCGAGATATCAAAACAGCGATCGCGGAATGGTTTAGTGCGACACATTAAGCTTCAGTTTTCGGTTATCACTATCCAAAACAGTTTTTGGGTGTAATTTGCTCCAGTGTGTTAAAAAAAGTCGGCGAATGTCAATTTCTCGAGAAAATGCGAAAAGAAGGAGTTTTACTCGTTCCCTGAGTTGGCGCGAAAGAAATCGCATGCATGTATATTAGGATATTCAGTGAATGTCATTCTCGCTTTCTATGAGGTGCTCCATTAACACGTCAGATTCTAGTGTAGTTTAGCGAATGGAACTCCTCATCTTTTGACGGTCATTACTTATCGATCTTAAGATCGGTAAGTATGTTTATAGGGAATTTGTCTGTTTGTCTGTCTGTTTTTTTTTGTCTGTTGGATGCGCGCGATATCTCACAAAAGCGAGGTTGAATCTGCTCCAAATTGGATGTGCATTCATCATATCTCGGACCAGAAGTCTATTGATTTTGAATGAATTATGTCGTATAATTAGCGAAGTATTGATTAATTAGTGATGGGACACACGGTGTCGCTATGGAGTAGGAGCGGATGAATCGGACCGCAGTTTCTGTTTTGGAGCATCCCCTAAATTTCGATCGATAAGTCTTAGGTCTCCGACCGATATTCTCGTTTTTATTTACTCAGTAAAGAAATTATTGAATAACCAATATCGAAAAATGCCGAATTACGCAGCTTACAAGCCACTTCGCCTTTATCATCGTTCACCAAACCATGATAAAAAATAAAATTTCCTCTTAATAGTATCAATAACTTTTATGTTTTCGTTAAAAAACAGCGACCGAAGAGAATTTTCAGGCGACCCAACTTTTCGTCGCAACCCACGCGTCAGGGAACTATTATCTATATAATATAGGCACTCACCCATACTGTCCATGTTCCAACGTGTGTTGTTCTCTCCGGAAGTTCCAATGCGAAAAGAAAATCATTTGTATATATTGACCCAATTGATTCATAAGGTGTAGCTGGATTACTGCAAATAACAATCCAACGCCAAAAACAATAATCACGTATTTGAAAAGACTATACTATACTTGCATGCATGACTTGATAAAAGTATAAGTCTGTTCATATCGAATGATACATAAAATTACGGTTCTGGTATGTATAAAATTAGGCCTGAAAACTTCCCGGTCAATTTGAAACTGAAAGTTTTATTCTTGGTATTGAAATAAAAAGTTTGTGTCTTGCCCTACTGTTTTATTTGTATTTAAAATTAAGCTTTTATGAGATGCTAGTTTCAGTACTGAGTGTCATTTGAGACGATAGCCGATGCATTGAAAAATAAAACAAAATACTGTAGATCGAAATTTTAGAGTTACTTAAAAGCTTTATTCGAATTTTTAAATAAATTTTAAGATCATTTTCTTAAGTAAGCCGTTTTTATTTAGTTAATACACACCTAATAAGTTGTCCAATATTAACGAATGTTGATCTACTTCCAATAGTATAGTCGATTTCCTGAATATAAATTAACCGTGTTGGTAATTCAGTTGCAACAATTTTATTTACCAAACCTTAGGCCAGAAATTGTATCTGGATCTTTTAACATTTTTATACCTCTGTTCTATTCTACTGTGCGGTTTATTAACATATTTGATACATTACCGTAACAAATTTATCAGCCACATTGTCAACTTTTGCTATGTGCAGACCAGAATCAAGATTTAAATATAGATAGTCGTAGTGATCCGCGACTTTAGCCTGGCATTCTTTCTTGTATTTCATTTTAGAAATAAAATGCGCGGCATGACTTTCTGCAAGTGCAAATAAATATTAAATAAATAATTCTTATTTTGTAAATATTAATTTGTTCATTGAATTCATCAATCTTTTACAGTACACCTAGTCTTCCATACCGAAAAATTCCCCACTCCGACTGAACACCAGATCGCTGAAAACCGACCGCAGAACCGTCAAAGTGCGGGCAATTTTTAATTTTGATGATGTAATCACACAAAAACGAATCCCATAAAGCCCACAAAATTTTTTGAAACAAATAAAAGTAATAGCCGTCTAGCGAAAACAACTATCTTCATGCAATGAGATTTCTAAACAATTGGTCCAGCCGTTAAAAATAAAAGTGATTATTCACAAGAAGCAGAAGTAAAAAAAATAATAACAACAACAATTTAACAAAACGGTTCAAAGAGGCTTTCGTGTCCAAAAATTCAGCACAAGGAGCGGAAAGGATTTTTAACGGTCTACAATCGAGTGCAATTTCTTATTTAGCCTCGCTGATATCCTATTTTTTCACAAAGGATATTGCCATCTCAATTGTTCGAGTATAATTTATTTACCAATTCGGCATTGTTCTTCACCCCATCCCAATGCACAGTCGCAGATCTCTCCTCCATTTGGCTGCAAGGTGATTATATTGCCTTGCTGACATGCTAAAAATAGATAAAAACACTCAACGTATCTAATCCACTCTAATTGTAGCGTATACGTCATATGTCATTTCAGTCTCATTTTTCAAATACAGTTCAGTCCAGTCTTCATTTTGTAAATACATTGTCGACAAAAATAGAAAATTTTATTAGAAATCATATTTTGTTCGTGATTTTCGAATGAAATTTTTGTTAGCATTCATAAAATAGATTCGATTCACTCGGAAATGAGCACAAGAGAATGCGAGGCAATTACATGGTATCAGAATGCGTAGCAACTAACGTAATCAGTAGTGTTCCAAGAACCCTATTTATCAATATAACAACAAAGACATAAAATTTTCTTACTCATATCACAACAATCACCAAAAAAACCTGGTGCACAGGTACAAATCGGTTCTCCGTCAGAGTTGACACCTTCTGTCCCTGAATCGCAACAGAAATTATCTAAATATGAAAAAATAGCAGTTTATGATTTATCCATTTAGACTTGATATGCAGGGTGGGACGAAACCGGATAAACAGGGACAGGCTACTCGGCCCATGCTGATGTCCTTATTTTACTGTAAACACTCAATTTTTATTGGAACCATGCATTTATTGTATGCATATTCAGAGATATATCTTTAGAAACCGCTCATATATCCACTCAGCCATTTGACAAAAGGAGATGAAATTCTAAGCACGAGTTATTACTTTGGACGGTTTTACATATGCATTCCGGCGCACTTTTTATGGTTATTTTCGCGGCATATTTTTGTCAAATTCGGGTTCTAGAATCTAGATTATCATTGAAATATGATTTTTAGGATATGTAGGAAAGTGAAAATAATCAATAACGCTATACTGATTTGCCACGGTTTTGGCTTTTACGTTTAAAGTTTATTCCCATTTTTCTAAACTGAAGGCGGTTGAGCGAATCTAAGAGCAATTATTTGCTATTTATTGATTGTCCAGAATACTGGTAATCACACCGCCTTGGAGTTAATACAAATTAACGTTTACATATTTATTCTGTTGTTTGTGACAGTAAAGATTTGGTGATGACGCAAAAATGTTCTTATTTTTACACAATTCACTTCATGCCTTTTGGCCTTGTGTTTTAATAGCGTAGAATCATACTGTACAAATTCAATATGAAGGATGATTTTCTGATTCAGACTGAAATTTTCAAATTCAAACCACAAAAAAATTATGCAAAATAATTAGGTCGTCGAACATAAATTAAAACGAAACTTACTGACTATTTCACCACAAAATTTTTCCGTAAGTATATCTGTGATGTCGCCAACATTTTGTAGAGTCATTTCATTAGTCTGTGTTCTGAAATATTCAAAATAGATATCGCATAACAATATTAAAAAAATAAATGTTTGCTATTTTCATTCAATTAAAATTAATTCATTTATAACCACTTCGTAAAATAACCATACAGTATAAAATGTTTGTCATCCTCGATTAGTTTTACCTTGTAATTAACTAATTAACCTATGTAGTTGATGGATTGTCGATAAAAAACTGTTGTACATAAGGTCTGCTTCATTTTGTGGCGTCTCGACATAAAATTGCGTACTGTGCGACAAGTTGGGAAAACTTACTTCATAAACAGCGCAGATCCAAATAAAGTGTATCTTTGCCCGGATAAAACGCGTACCTCAGATTGAGTTCTGGTAGATTGTGTCAACAAAGGTATATCTCTAACAGTCTAAAAATGAAATTGAACAAAAACACTAAGGTTATTTAATGCACAGTCTATTATTTTAGAAGGTGATAGACCAATGGTTCTGAAACTTCTTCATACATCATAATCGCATTTCAATGATGTCTGGAGGCGCAGTTATTACCACTTCATTGCGGCTCCTGTCACGAACGAACGGCGCAAAATCATGTACCAGGTTTTAGTTTATCATTCGAAATTACATCTACTCAAACCTCAAACTTAACCCCACATCAATCAAAACTGTATCCATAAGGAAAATGTTCTAATTTACACAAATCGTATCATCATCACCATCAGGGGCAGTCATGCCATTACAGCCTACATGCCTTGGTTTGTGGCAGCACAATTCTACCCGCCATGGTTTTCAATTTGGTGCCGTGATACCCCGCCTCTTTAAAAAGTCATTCGCCACGGTTTTACCATAGCGGCCATGATTTGGAAATCTTTCCATGGTTTTGCGGCAGCTTCAGACGCCACAAGGTGCTTAAAACTGCACTTGGATATCTATCTTCCAAACGGAAGAATGTTAATATGCTACTCGTAGAGATAGTGCGTAAAGTGTTCTTGCAGCAATCTATAGCAATTGATAAACTTTTCAACAGCAATAAACTATAATAAAAAAATACCAGGCCATAAGGTTGAACTGCAAAATGAATAACGATGATTGTTTCGTGACTTGTAAATTTTGTTTGAGTCGCCACATACGAATAAGTGCATTGATTATTGGTCAATACATTCGTACCCGTTCCAAAGTTAGTGGAAGGTATAACTTCAACGCTTCCAGTCTCCGTTACTGAATTGTAACTTGTGAAGACCTATTAGGGAGAAATATGATGTGTAATAAGTATACATATAAACTACTTTTTAATGATATATTTATGCAACTTTTCTCACCTTGTGGAATCCTTCTACGTGGTATCTATTTTCATTAGGCAACCATACAACTTCAACAAATGGAAATTCCCCGTGCTGTGCCCACTCAGAATCACCCACGCTGCAAAATATGTACTATTTAACGTGAATAGGAGTAATATGTATGTGAAAATTATTGAACAAACTTGAGGCATGCCAAATCCGACAATATTGCAACCATTTTTAGAAATTAGCGTTTTTTTTTATAGATAATAATTAATGTAAACTACAAGTAAATTATGCGCTAAACAATAAAAGATAAATGGAATATTTTGTCATTACAACATATTCTAAAAAGTTATCGACTTATTTCTACTGCATTCAATGGACAACAAACCTTCCTTGCTCGTTTGGTCCGTATGATTCTGGGCGGTAAACCTGTCTATCGTATCCAAATTCCTAAACATAGCATATATTATTGTATTTATTGAAGTATTTTCCAGTATTTAGTAATATGGTAAAATGTGAGAAAAAAGTGAAAAGCTTTTGAGAAGTCTATATCCATTCAAAAATCTTATATATATTGTGATTTCATGATGGCCGAAATGAAAAAAACGAAATAATATTTTACATATGTGAGCAACTGTCCATCGAAAAAAAAGGATGACGCGCCATAATGGTAATGAAAATCTTATTTGCATTGTAATACTCGTTTCAACCCCTATCAGTTCACGGGATTTCCATTATATTCGTGTTTCAAATATTTGAATATTTATTTTGCCGCAAAGTCAGCTAGATTACGGTGGTAATGGTTGCAGAAGTCGATTCTATACTACTCCCCGAGATTGTGTACGTGACAGGGTTGCTGTTTATACTTGTGATAGCAGTGACTTCCGTGTTCGTAATTCTTTGGAGAGACAGTTCCGCTACATTACCTGCACAGAGAAAAGTAATTTCGTAAATTTAATCGGGTATGCATTGCGGATGCATTGCAAATCTTGAGATCGAAAATGGCGACCAATATTTCATGTTGTATCAATTTCTGTTTGGATTCACATTCACAAGGGATCAATTGTGACAAATTACCGCCTTAATTTTTATTTGTATCAACGCCCTCCAGATGTGGGAACTTCTTCAGTTATGATACAATCCTGGAGGGTAATAGTCAGTTTTTTGTATCAAAAACTGCGGAGTAAAATAAAAATGGAAATAAACTCGATACATCCCATGTGACTCTTGCCATCAACTAATATGAAATCAATTAAATATAATCATATATATTAGAAAAGTCAATATATATTGGCTATCGATTCGAATTTAATATAAAATTGACTAACTAGTGAAGCTTCGGCATGCATCAATGTATAGTAGTAGGAAAATCACTCTAACCACTCGACTTTCTTGTTCATTCATTCTTTCTTTCACTCCACGTATTACAATAAGTTTTGAACAGGTTCTCGGCACCAATGACAGAGTAAACAAAATGCATTCAGTTTGCACTAAATATCCTATATATAAAAGTATCATCAGATGAAATAAACCGGAATATATCAGATCCGACCATGGGAAACTGCTGTGACTCATGTATACTGCATTCCAATTATTGCTTAATGTATTTCTGATAAATTGATGAACCGTATGAACCCGAATACCGATCACCCATACCCAATCAGCTTTTCATATCTGATATCTACAACATATCAAATATCGCGAATATCTGGAACATAACATGAATTTATGCCTCCATTTTATTATGCTACGGGAATATTGTTTTCATACAGAGTTGGATTTTTTCTTCTATACATCTTTGAGTAAAGTTATTTGTCTTTTTGATCAGAGACAGGATGATGATTCAAACAAGATAGCAATGCTCATATATATGGACACTAATGCCAAAGCCAAGCATTAGTATACGTAACCGCCACAGGGTGCGAAATTTTTGATGGCGTCATCACACACAAACAAAAAAAAACGAATTCCAATAACCCCACAAAAATCTTCGAGATTTTGAAATAAACAAAAGTAAATAATCTTCTAGCAAAAAACTCATTCCAGCAATTGTTTACTGCTGGTGTTTCATTTGCGTTTTCGCCCAATAGACAAACTGTCAAATAACGAAATGCAATTACTGGGAGATTCGTTCCTAGAATCGATTTACAATGGTGCATATTTCCGCTTCTATTACATGAAAGGAGAGGAAACGAAGGATATGATTAGGGAATAATATCTAAAATATGTTGGTGTGTAAAAGCAAATTAACTAGTAAAAGTCGCATGGTTACTAGCCCATGTCGTGAAAGGGAATAGTTAGCCAGTTATATGTTGACGATGCATGGACTTGATAGTAGACGTAGCCTACCAGCAGTAACGTGAACCCCGCTGCGACGGAGAGTAGTCCATAATCCTTTCACACGTAAAATATCCCATGTACGATATTCATAAGTGCGATGGCAAGGGACGGATTAAGCTCTTTTGGTGCCCTAGGCACTGAAGACTTTAGTGCCCTCTCATGTGTAATTTAATTATAAAAACAATAAACCACATAAGTGTATTATCCATCAAAAATAATCACAACCAACGGTAAATAAAACAACTTTTACGAACATTTTCAGTTTTTTTAACGGTTATTTACAGCCGATATATTCATATTTCGGTCGTTTATTGCCGATATGATATATCGGCAAACACGCAATATCGGGCCGATATATCGGTTGAGCTCTAATCCTGAGGGAGTGTGACAAATAAAGATTAATACCTCCAGTCTCAACGTGAATCGAAATACCAAAGCATACAAGTCACAACTGTAGTTTTGAAATTTTACCGGTACCTAGTAGTCTACCTCAGGGTGGTTCAAGGTTGCTAGGTTGAAGAACCGAAAAAAGTTTTGAGGAGGTTTCGCGGGCCGCAAGTCGGAGAAAACCCAAAAGTGATCAAAATATCGCGAGTTTAGTTACTTTAAATTCAAAAAACAACGAGGGTTTACCGTTTTAATCAGACTATTATTATGTTGCATGGGTGCCGTTCTTTTAAAGAAGATATATAAAGCCTTCAGTTATTTTAAAGTTAATTCCCGAGAATTAGCGTTGTATTTTGCGCATCTTGCGTTTAATGTCGATTCAAATTATATTCCTTCGTGACAGATATTATTTGAAATCAAACCAGACACTGTGTGATGTGTGATGAGCAAGGAAATACGTTCCGTCGTGTTTTTCCTTATGTCACTTTTATTGCGAAATTCATTTTATTACGTATTGTTATATTGAGTAATTTAAAAACTTGCAGCGTGAGCAAGCTTAGTTACATCGTCAAATACCAACCAAGTCCGTCTAAGTTGGTATTTTGGGACCCAGCTAAAAAACTGGATTGCGCGGCGTTACGTTGAGTCGGCTCTGCGTTTCGTCACTACTGTCACATGGCCGACGCTTAAAAACCGAGTACTGTTTTTACTAAAATGAAGGCACAAAGCGTTAGAAAAAGGGTTCGAATATCGGGATCGCAACCCTAGTTGGAATAGCTAAAAAAAACTCAAACTCAAGATACAAATATACGCTAAAATTGTTCTGTGAGCCACACAGAATGTATCAGCATGACAAGGTCGTCGAAATGCGATCGTGGAACTACCACATAGTGTAAATAGTTCATTGGTCTAATTGTGGAAAAAAAAATGCAACAACAAGGAGAATATTAGAAAGAAAATAAAACAATTCAAGAAAACGACTCATAGGCCCATTTTGTGTCCAAAAAAAGTTTCAGTTTTCATTTTTAATAAAGAAGCTTAATATGATACTTGAAGACAAAAAATAAGCGAACATTTTGAAGTTTGAGTTGTCTGGTGAACTCGTAATATTTTAATAAACACCGATAAACTACATAAAATTCCGCTTTAAAATTACTTTGGTGCCCCTCTTTGCTTGGTGCCCTAAGCACGTGCTTATATTGTTTAATCATTAATGGTTAATCCTGCGCTGGCGATGGCAAGCGTGTTACTACCGTCGGACATATCTCACAGTAGGTGAAGGCATAATGGTAGGATTCAGTCGGTTTGGGATAAAAAAAATTTGGGATAAAATCTTTGTCACTTAAGGCTGGGCATCTTATGCAATCCACAGCAACAGATCAACTAATATTGTGTAGACTGATACTCATTACTAAGTATATCCACATCCGGATTAGAATAATGTGTGATATATATATATATCTATGTCGAATGTCCAACGTAGTTTTACAAACCAAGCATGCAGACTTACCGCATACCATGTTTATAAATGATAATTCAATACTAATCCCTATTATAGGCATTTCTGCATGGAAAAGAAACTTCGATTGCAATATTTATTTCTTTGTAATCAAAAATTCATTTAATTCAGTTGATGCATTTTCATATGTTTTAAATAACACAAATTACAAGATATGATTTTGAGTACACAATTCCTAAAATCATCACATGTTATTACTCATTTCAGACTTCGATAATATTTTCACTTCGAATATACTACAGTATATATTGAGGAAATTTTACACATCTTACCATTATGTCATGCACGGTCGAGTCCAAATGTGTATGGAAATAAATTTGAAGAAATAAAATATTGGGCATTGTTTCACACCAGTTTGCAGATCACTTATTTTCCATTTATTAAAAATAATGGAACTATAATCTCAGAACAAAAACCAAGCATTGCTGCATTTAAAATCAGTAAAAAAAATTAACATAAAGCATTTTGCTATTTATTAAATATGCTCATATTGTCGTCCTTCTTATTTCTGACGACGTTGTCCGCTGTAAAATGCATATATGATTAGGGAAGTCATTATGACAGTAGTTAGATTAGAGTAGCAGATTAGGGGAGTCTTTATGAGCTTGCACTTGTAGTCCACCACGTCATTAAAATGATCCAATTTGATGAAGACTCAATCCAAAACAGCATTTAGGAATCGTTTTGATGCGAACAATCTGGATTAGCCCTCTTTTTATTACGCGAATAAGGCTTGTAAATAGCGATTGCTGAGATGGCTTATTTTAAGTTAGAGTTAGGTAACTAAACTTATCGCGTTCGCTAATGTAAATTTGAGATACCATATTAACCAATTTCTTAAATAATCAAAATTTTCATTCCTGTCGCAGATAATTTCTGGGCGCTCCAGAAGTATGTGTACCAATATGGAGGTAACTAATTTTGTTCGTCTACTTTACATCAAGTTGTGTAAAGGGGCTAAAACCTACGGACAGGGGGTATATACACTTGGCTAACACAGACAGTCTCCGAACTCGTAATATAACTGAAATATAGAAAATTGGGATAAAGTTATGGCCTAACCCTAACCTGATACACATACTAGGGGAGTACCAATTTCTGAGCAGAATCCAATATTCTAACTAAGAACCAACATTTACGTAAGAGATTATTCATATACAGACCTCAGAAAGATTAGGACAAAAATGAAAAGCACTATAGTGATGCTGAGGCCGAATATTGCTGGAAGCATCCAGTGAGGATTGCTTTGAGATTCTGTAAAAAAATAATATGATGATGTGTTTGAGATTACCTGCCCAATCAGTTCTTAAAGTATACAATGCTAAAAATCGGCATTAGTCGAATCTTGCAATGTTATTTTGCCTAATAAAAAAATGATTGTACTGTGTCAATAATACCTTAAAGTAAAGAATGAGTCATTCAAAGAATGAGTTAATCATTAACGGCTTTTACCTGGACAATTGGCAGGAAAACCTCCGATGTTATCTTCGCTCCTGCGAACAAAGAATAATTATTTTGAAATTTAATTGATTTTGTTGTTATGAAATTGTATCCCCATAATTATTCGAAGACGCTCTTCTAATTTACTGACTTATTGTGGTATCTGACTTCGGTTCTAGCCTGCGTTTTCAAATATATGTAATATTGCACGAACGGTATTTAATTGGGTGCGTTCGAGAAGTGTGAGTATGGAGATAACTAATTTAATTTCGTTCGCCTACTTTGCATCAAGTTGTGTTAAGGGACTGTAACATATGGGCAGGGGTATACTCACTTGTTTAACACAGACAGTCCCCGAACTCGTAATGGAACTAAAATAGGGAAAATTGGAATGAAATTATAGCCTATCTTTATAACGTAGTACACACACTACTGCAGTACCTAATTGCTGGACCAATGAATGTGATCATCAAGATCTTCTATCTCTATGCTGTTATTGTCACCATGTGTGTTTAGCTAATCTATCAACACTCGAGGATATTTGTTGCAGTTTTGTAATAAGATACTCAAATAGAATCATTACCGTGTTTGGGCATGTAAGCTGGATCGTTTTTTACTTGGCAAGCTGTCAATTCTTTTAGTCAAGATCGCTGGATGAACTAAAAATAACAGATAAAGTTATTACATTGTAACACATTCCTAGCTTAGTTACGGTGGGGAAGTTTTTTTATTCGTATATCGATGTTCTATTTGCTTGTTAACGATGGCTACACGGTATTCAGAACTAGCGGTTCAAGAGCTTTTGCTTTGTGAAATTCTTTGCATGTTCGTCAGGAGTTTATCGAACGCTATAACATCTCTCTGTCCACGAAGAAGATACTGTACATATAACTTCACGGACGGTAGCCTTAATAAGATTCCATGTGTGTCGTTGACTACATCTTTCGATATTGTTATTTTAGCTTTGGTACAGACCAACAAGACAATATTATATTTTATGATAACAAATACATAATCCTATTAATGATAACTCATATTATATCGAAGCGCTCATTATTTGAGCTTTTTTTAATGAGAAACACAATAAAAAGTATCAGTAATGAAGCCAAATAAAATTTCATTCTACTTTTATGACAAGTTTATAAATAACTCTAGTGATGACAATACAAAATGACTACACAGAATTATACACCGTAGCCTAAAATCTGTCTGTCAATAGGGGCATCGTATATAATTTAGGTGTGTGGTCGTTACCTCGGATATCGATTTTTCTTTTTGTCTTCAATACGGAACCGTCAACGTCATTCTCAGCAAAACATCTATAGCGATCAGTATCACTCAATTTTGCACTTTTGATTATCAAAGTAGATTTGCCTTTGACAGAAGTCTGATATACTTCCCGATCGGAGGTTTCATCAACAGGTTGGTGACCTTTGTGCCACGTGACATTGGGGAGGGGAATTCCCGATGCTGTGCAGTCGATAATGATTTCGTCTGATTCCATGTAATCGTTTTGATCCGTACTGATTTTCACGCCGTAGGAATGGACTGAAACAAATTACAAAATATATATATCCCAATCCCAAGTGGAGTAAGTAATATAGGTGTCATTAGAGTTCCTTTTCATATAGCAATTTGTTTGAAGTGTTTTGAGTTAGGTAAAATAATGGGTTTAAATTTCATTTCATTCTCTTGCGCCTCCGATCCAGTATTTTGTGACTTTTTTTCTGTATTTGAAAATATAATTGCGTTGCATAATTTCACTTCCTAAATTTGTATATGATTTCTCGTACCTCCTTCGCAAATGTAAAACAATTCCTGATTACAGTCTTCTGCTTCCAAGTCACGAGACCCCATAGAGGCACATGTGTTACCGTTCGGGCCTACTCTTCCTGAAGTCCTAGAAGCAAAACATCATACCTTACTTCATTCACAAATAAATCCTAATTTCTAAATTGTTATTCGTGACATAATCCAGAGAGTCAATTAGATAGCCAATTCTGACCCCTAATCATAATTAATGTGTTGCGTTTTTTTGAATGAAATCAATTTCGAATCTAAATCGAACCCCCGTGTCAACAATGACATATTTATAAAATCTCTATGACAATAAATCACAAAAATTTTCTTCAAATACAATAGTTTATAGCATTTCAAAGTTGGACTAATATACACAATTAATAACACATGGAATTTGAAATATTCAAGAAACATTTCAATGTGATAATCTCCTGTCGAGCCCCTAAAAAAAATCTATCCGCAGTTGTGCTCAAAATAAGGATTAACGTTACCATTCTCTTGCGCCTCCGATCCAGTATTTTGTGGCTTTGTTTCTGTATTGGAAAAAATAATCGCGTTAAAAATTGAATTATTTGGCATCCTTGTCACAAGAGTAACAAAACAGGTAAGGAAAATGCATCATTTCAAAATCCAAACTTTTCAATTTTTTGGCATTGGATGGAATATTAGAATCTTAATTCATATACTTCATATACCTTTTCTCGTTTTCATCTAGCATTTCGTACAACGCATCTGATGTTAGACGAACTAGTTGATATCCAAGTTCAGCACACTTTTGTTCTGCTATCGCAGATGTTGCTCGTGCATCACTGAATATCAACTGAGTATTGTCCGAAACTCGGAATAAATTCGCATCTAAACATGATAAAATTGTATTTACGTATTGCAAAATTATCAATAATATCGAGCATATTTATTAGTTTATATTCTTTATCTTTGCTGGTCGTTCACAATACACCTAAAGTAAAGTTTTTTTTTCGGTTCGAAACGGGAAGATTTTTCAAGCTATATTCCACGCATTTTACATTAAAATATATTCATAAGTCTCTATTCGCCAAATCTATCATTTTGTTGCAGAAATGTGTCGTAACTGTGAAATTAACGTGAACTGTGGAATTGAGCATCGGGAGTATAATCTATAAAATATGAACCTACGAGACATTATACAACATATTGTATAAAAAAGCAAGATTACCTTTTTGGCAAATGAATCCATATTTGTTACCGCAATCTTCGTCATTCCATTTTCCACTAGAAGAATACATTGTCCCACAATCCTCCTGCAATTTATCGTTTGGTTCGCCAGAATTCCTTGTTAAAATAGAGTAAAAATTTTGTTCGACAACTAATGGTTACATCATTCTTTTAATCCATAAGGTTTGTTCACTATGTTAAATTTGAACTTACCAATTCGTATAGTAGTCATCTACTTTTGTTCCATCAAGGTAGTACCAATAGTTTTCGGTGTAGTAGTCCCACATTCCAAGCCAAATCTGGCGACCTCCCCTGAAAAATTTAATTATATTTATTATTCATGTTCTGATGACTTTTGTGTAAAAATTCTGCGTTCGCTCGCGAAAGTGCAGTTCTGTGCCATAGTAGCTTTGCGAACATGAAGTATTCTAGAAATGAACTTTTGCGAAAATGCATTTCAACGTAAACGCATTATTGTATATATTTGATTTTGCCTTGACGATTTTTTTTCTGTAGTTTTCGAGGAATAAGTTTTTGCAACAATATAATTGTGTGGGAAAGTCAAAACCACTGCCAAGAGGAATGTATACCATCGCAATACCATTTTAAATATTAGAACCTTAATAATGCTTTTGCTTATCATTACTCAATCAATTCACTGATTATAATACGACGCCTTATTGTACAAAAAACGTGACTAGAATATAAGTTTTTACAATATAACACTAACGCGAACTGTAAAATATTATTTTCGGAACAGTGCTAAATTACATTTGCTTAAAAATCTGGTATATTTATATATATATTTCTCTTTGCGTATTTTTAATAGAAAGTTCAGAACACAGTTCAGTATCACTGGCCTTTCGCATGCAAGATTGCAATAATCGTAGGAGTAAATCAATAGAAGATTTCTACATTCTATCAAAGATCGCTCTCCCAGTTAGGTTGGGAATGGCTTTATTAAGTGTCAATAAAGTTGAATTGGCTATGCATATTCTACTTTCAATTTTACGATATGGACTGGAAATACAAATGTCAGATTTCAAGAAACTTTTCGCTCACAGTTAGGTTTCAAATTTATCACCAAACTCCTATCTCGAGGTTGGTACAAACGACCAATGGGCCCATACTCCCCGCCATAGAGAAAGCCAAGCTCATTGATCCATCGTGTGGCGTTTGATCAAAAACTTGGATCATACCATTGATCCACTAGTTCGAAGCATTCTTCTTGCATAGCAGAACTTTTAATGTAAACCCCGTGTCCTTTGTTGTATGTAGCACATTTGAAATCTGCTTCTGTAAACTTTACGAGATCACCACCGTCACTGTAATAAGTATACAGGTACTGTCCATCACTGGATTGTATTACCTGAACTAAAAAAATTGAAATTGATGGATTAGTGCAATTAAAAATGAATGTCTCTTAAGAACTTTCAGGCCTATCATCATCTCGTCGCATGACGAAATTGAACTACTGGGAAAGAAAAAAAGTGTTAACAATTTTGCTATTTAAATACGGCACAGATATGAATATTACACAAAGTTTTACTAATAATTTTAAAATTTATATCATACCTGCTTGTCCGAGTGATACAACGCATAAGAGCAAGAGTAGAGAAGTAAAATTCTTCATTTTTTTGTTACTTCTATACGTATGTATTTCTATGTTCTCAGTTAACTTAGAGGCAGAAAAAGATGAATATTTTTATATACTTATAGCGCATCTTACTGTCATACATTGACAAACTTGGCGTCCTGATCGTCCTGATTTTATTAATGGTGAAGTTGTTCAAACCGTCAAACGCTAGTATATTAATATATGGCGAGGATACATCTGGCATTTGTCTGGAACAAACTCTAATGCTAGTTCTGGATTGTTTCTAGTTTGTCGCATTCAGCAAACTTCTATTTTTGTGAGTCTTGTTAACCCGATTATAAAAGCATATGTTTAACTCCAAAGATTACTAGCTATTAATTGTAACGTATGTAACAGTTAACTTGAGTAACAAGAATTTCCAATGTACACACGACACTCGTTCATTTGATCATTTATAATAGTGCAGTTTATAATAGAATAGTGTTTGAGACTGTCAAAATTGCTCTTTATTCCATTCAAAATTGCCACATTTCTTGACACACTTATCATCACCATTTTTCATTTGGGCTACAAGAAACATTGTACTTGCTTAGTGTTTACATCTTTTGCAGATGTCGCAGAATGACACCCGCTGTTCATACGGCAGCGCAATATTCATCCTCTCCTCACTAGCCGGAACAGCAAAAGACGTTTAATAAATATTTGGAATCATTGTAACTCGATAAACCAAGGTTTATAGTTATCTTCGCTGAAAAAAACTTTCCTCTCAAGAAAAAGCAGCTGTTCGCATAACTTCTATTCCGGAATAACCCTTGCTCTTTTTTCTTTTTATGTTCTTCCCTTGGCGATTTATTTATTTAAATGCATTTCTGCAAGGCAGGACATTATTGCCGCCATATTTTGCTGACGCTTCGATAATATTTATGTCATACCTAAAATATTACATAAATAAGAGATAAGAATACATCAAATATTAGTACACATAAGTCAAACAGACAGCCCGGGGTCGTCCTCGGTTCAACGGTCAGTAGGAGAGATAAATTCCGTTCAAATTACTTTTTAATAGAAATGAGTTGCAAATAATCGTGCAACATTTTATAGATGTCTGCATATTTTAGAAAAACTTATATTCTATATAGTCAAGTTTTTGGCACAATAAGGCGTTGTTTTAAATTCAATAAATGGATTAAGTACTGATAAGCGAAAGCATTATTAAAGTTCGAAAGTTTAAATTGATATTGCGTAGATAATACATTCCTCTTAAAAACGAATTCTTCAAAGTTTAGTATGACAAAAATATTTCTCAACAAAATTACATTTTTGCAAAATCCTATTCTTTGAAAACTACAGGAAAAATCGGCATAAATTAAATCCACGCAATAATGCGTTAACGTAGGAATGCGTTCTCACAAAAGACCACAGAAATGTTGGCCAAAATATAAAAGTGCGAACAGGTACTGTTATTTGAGCAAAATTTGATTACCTAGGAATAAAAACGACCACACATAAAAAGAATAAAAAGTTTCGAGTTGTGATTGTTCAAGGTTACTTTTGAATGTGTTAGAAAGTGTTTCATAAGAAACAAATATTCACCAATAACCGATCTCATTGTATTGCAAAAACAACCCAAAATTTTCACACTTCAATTGATTTATAATGTTTCCAAGGTTACAGGTGACCGTGCCATCCCTTCGGGGTTATTTTTACAATGAACGTTGTACGACTCGAACGAATAGCGACGTTTTGTTCGCACATTTGAAGTAGGCATCCGTCTCAAATGCAAGGTTGCATCATTAATTTGTACATTTGATTCACATATGGCAGACATTCTAGCCGAATATCACAATAAAATAACTTTATGTTTATGAAGCTCTCTTATGAATGAGCGCGATATAACTTTTCATGGTATATTTATTTAAAATGGTGAGTCGATTCAAAAATAATGTTGAACTAAATAGAGCTTTTTCTGACATTTTTTATTGCGATTGCAACATTAGTTTCAATTTGGAAGGTTCAAACTCAACTTCAGCAAACTTGAATGCTAAAACTTTACCCAGGTAATGATGGCATTTATTGTTTTCGTTAGCACTGCCAATAAATTATAAATTTATAAGAGACGTAGCCTTAATTTTTATACGATGCATAGTCATTTATGAACTGGCGTAATTATTTCAAAATCGGCATAGCCTTTTTGGAATACGTGGGTTCGCAGGTTCGAATCTCACGCGGGGATGGTCATGTGCAAGAGGCTTGCTGGACTTCTCGACGCCGTAGGGTGGTTCAAGTAACTGCTGGTCGATTACGGCTTCCTCCACCATCAAGGCCATGCTTCCGAAAACTAATAACCAACTAATTCCATGCCCGACATGGAATGGTAACCGGGTGAGAGGCCATGGTTCGACAAATGGTTAAGCCGTCTTATCGGCTTTCCTCTACCCCGGGATAAATATGTAAATCCTATCCTATGATATAGAGTAATAAAGTACGAAATGTGGCCCTTGGCCTCTGACCGGTTGGCCACCTCTGATATATGCGGTTGGTATACTCTTACTTTTGTCTGGGTGGCGCTGAAGTTCAAGAAGGTGTGCGGGTTGCCACGATATATTTTAGTGACACCGTTGTCATCTCCGTACTTGTTGCCCTGAACGAAAGATGATTATGCGCTAAAGACTGTTGAGACCTCGGAAGTTTGTTCACGTTACCGACTCCTTCCGCTGTCAGGCGCACGTGTGGGATTTAGTCGAAAACTTGGCCCAGCTAATTATACGATTTCTTACATGTACATGTGTTAAATTCTTAGGGCATATAAGCAGGAAAGTTTCCGCAATACTGATCATTGTGTTATTCACCTACTGCCAGTGTTATTATGTGCAAATACTTTCTGTGATCCACGTAGGGTAATTTGAGTAAGGGCAATGTGCGCACCACGCGCGCTGAATATGACAGTAAGATCCAACTAAGTATTTGCGTACCATACATACGTCAAAAGACAAAGGGCTGTCACGAAAGATGTACGCGTATGATAGATATGCCAGTTTATCAAACCGATAGGGGAAACAGATACATGCAAACTAGCAGATCAACCCTCGCACTATACCTTAAGTATATCGCAGAGGTAGAGTTATTTCATACCCCATTGTTAGAAATATATTTTTTTCCAGACTTTATCAAATATAAATTTCTTTCTCAAATCCAACAGATAGAAATATAATTAATGTACGCTCCTATCGTTGCTTCTAAATTGAATAGTTTTTTTTGTTACATTTTATCAAGTTAGTAAAACGCTGTTTCGAGACTGTAGATATCATTCGAAATCTACTATAAAATCAATAAAGGTGTCTTCAAAGTCAATTTCATGACAGAAAGTCCACGGGAAGCGAATCTGAGTACAGAATAGATTCAAGACTTTGGGGTAAAACCTTGGTCAGTTTGGGCTGAGCATCTTACGCAATCCACAGTAACAAATCAACTTATATTGTGTAGAGTCACTGTAGACTGATACCCATTAATACAGTATATCCACATCCGGATTAGAATAATGTGTGATATATATATATATATGTCGCATGTCCAACGTAATTTTACAAACCAAGCATGTAGACGCATATCATGTTTATAAATGATAATTCAATACTAATTCCTATTATAGGCATTTCTGCATGGAAAAAAAAACCTCGATTGGAATCTTTATTTCTTTGTAACCAAAAATTAATTTGATTCAGTCGATGCACGTTCATATGATTTGAATAACACAAGTTATGATTTTGAGTACACGATTCCTAATATAATCACATGTTACTACTCATTTTAGACTTCGATAATATTTTCACTTCGAATATATATTCTTAGTATTGGGGAAATTTCACACATCTTACCATTATATCATGCACGGTCGAGTTCAAATGTATATAGAAATAAATTTGATAAAAATAAAATATTAAACATTGTTTCACACCTGTTTATCGATTACTCATTTTCTATTTAAAATAATGGAACTATAATCTCAGAACAAAAACCAAGCATTGCTGCATTTAAAATCAGTCAAAGAAATTAACATAAAGCATTTTGGTATTTATTAAATATGCTCATATTATCGTCCTTCCTATTTCTGACGACGTTGTCCGCTGTAAAAAAGTGCAAATAGAATTAGGAGAGTGACTATAATAGTATTGCTTGCACTTGTAGTCCACCACGTTATTTGTTAAACTGATCCAATTTGATGAAGACTCGAGCCAAAAAAAAATTTAAGAATCGTTTTGATGCAAATAATTAGCGCTCTCTTTATTACGTGTATAAAGCTCGTAAATAGCGATTGCTGAGATGGCTTATTTTAAGTTGGAGTTGCTTAACTAAACTTATCGTGTTCGATAATGTTGATTTGAGATACCATATTAATCATAGCATATCAAAACACATTTCTCAAATAATCAAAATTTCCATTCCTGTTGCAGATAATTTCTGGGCGCTGCAGAAGCATGTGTACCAATATGGAGGTAACTAATTTTGTTCGCCTACTTTACATCATGTTGTGTAAAGAGACTGAAGCCTATGGGCACGGGGTATATTCACTTGGCTAACACAGACAGTCTCCGAACTCGTAATATAACTGAAATATAGAAAATCGGGATAAAGTTATGACCTAACCCTAAACTGTTACACATACCAGGGGAGTACCAATTTCTGTAGCAGAATCCAATATCCTAACTAAGAACCAACATTTACGTAAAAGATTATTCATATACAGACCTCAGAAAGATTAGGACAAAAATGAAAAGCACTATAGTGATGCTGAGGCCGAATATTGCTGGAAGCATCCAGTGAGGATTGGTTTGAGTTTCTGTAAAAAAATAATATTATTTGAGATTACCTGCCTAATCTGTTCTCGAAATATACAATGCTGAAAATCGGCAAAATCTTGCAATGTTATTTTGTCTGATAAAGGTACGATTGCACTATGTCAGTAACACTTTCAAGTGAAGCTCAAAGAATGAGTTACTCACTAACGACTATTACCTGGACAATTGGCAGGAAAACCCCCGATGTTATCTTCGCTCCTGCAAACAAAA